TATCTTAGAGCTTAATATTTTGTCAGCAACATCACCCAACTATATTAAATATTCATATAGATATAGGCTATTTTATGTGTCTGGTTTTGCTAAATTTGTACATTAGCAAATCATAAAGTCTGATTTTTTTTTTTTGGTTTAGCAATTTCATGGGTTTCTGTCATTTAGTAGTTGCACAGTGGTGAACTAATCCGTAAGACTTCAACAGTCAGATCCTCTTCTTTTTAGTGAAAGTGAGCAATTTGTCATCAACTTCAAATGAAACAATACTTGGTCTTTGGAGAGATATAAGCCATAAAGCATACATTCTCTCTTCAAACTTATGCCTGCAATTTTATCTTCTGCTGTCTGCATTTACTAAAATGTGTTTACTATTTTTGCAAGTAATAGTAATGAAGATACAACTTTCCATAAGTTCAGTAAATCATTAAAAATAGCCGGTTCATATAGAGGTTGATGAGTTTTCCAATTCTATATTAAATGCTCAAATAGTAATGATAAATCTTTTTATTTTTGTAGATTTATTCATCTCTGATGAATAATAGAAATTAAGAATACATATTTACCATAATGCATACATGGGTTGTATAATGCACGAACAAATTTTCAGACATGTAGAATTATTACAGATGGCTACATTGTATATATTTTTGAAGCGAGGACTTCACATTTTCAATTATAGCCTACAGATATAATTTCTATTAATTGTAATACATCATAACTATATTGTCCATTTAGTTTTCGTGAAGTGTTATTATTCTAATAGCATTTCAGACTGGAGATTTCTTCATGTACTATTTCCTGGAAGTGCACTGAAAACTGTGCTGTATATAGTACATTAGCAGTTTCAATGCTGAAAAAATTCCAAGTACATCCAGAATAATTGTTTTCTACCATTTCCTATTGCATGAATTCAGGTACGCATTCAGATAGAGTACCTTTGTGGGGCTTGATGGCTATCTCCTGAGCCTCGTGAAAAGATCACACCCTTTGAATTTTATGGAGGTTTGTGTTTGTTCCCGCACCCCACCCAGCAGGACCTATTTTTATGAAGATCTAGGCAAAAAATGCAAAGTTTTGGGTTTCTTTATAATATATACTTTTTTGGCTTGTGGGGATTGAAAATCAGTCACAGGAGGGACAACAGCTGGTGAAGTGGGTTTTGTGTTGTTTGCTTTTGGTTGTGGGGTGTTATTTTTAATGAGGAAAGGCTCTATTTATTTATCATACATTCTCCTTAAGGTTTACTTCTGTCAATAATGATTTTTTTTTTCCTCTCAAAACTTAGGTTCAAACAAACATCTAAATTATGAGGAATGCATAAATATAAGAGGCATCTTCCTGCTGTTCATCCAGCTAGTGAAAGAATGAGGTTAACACTTAGGATCTTACAAGAAAGAGTAAATAGATGCTTTCATAATATTTTGTTTTTCTGTCCATCTGCTAATGACTATAATGAGAAAGGAAAATTGGTGCTGTCCATTGTAATATTGTAATGTTGTACAATTACACAATTGTAACCGTAACTACTGACTGACACATGCACAATTTGTGGAAATAGTCACTTTTGGGGTCTGATACTTTTCCCAGGCTTGGTCTCTACTGAGGATTTATTTATTTATTTGTAAAAGCTTATGTGAGATGTGTATGGTTTCAAAGAACTGGGAGCACCCCTGGAGTGCTGCAAAGGCTTTGATGTTACAAAGGCAGCTGAGTCAATTCAGGGGTAAGGGCTAGATTGTGCCCTCTCATCCCATCCTAAAATTCTCTGTGGTCAGCTAGCTGCCTTTTCAGCAGCTGGCCAGTGGTATTTCCTTCAGGTTAGTGGGCCAGAAAGCAAAGTTAACCTTTCAGACTACTCTCTGAGCATAAATGCTGTGATTGTTCACTATTTCTAAGACCTGTGCATGGACCCAGTGTGCTTGAACAAATCCAAGCACAGCCTGTAAGAAAAGCTCTGGTGGTGGTGATCAGATGAAGGAAATGTAAAGTTGACATTTCATGCTGAATCTTTGCTTCGACAACACCACCAAGATGTATTGTGTTCTTACCCTGCCATCCCCTCAAGTTCACTGATAATGCACACAGCTGGAATTTTAAAGCCAGTTAAATAAAATCCTCAGCATTTCATTCTCCTGGGTTCTCTTAATGTATACTAAACGTACAGAATAAAGCATGCTATTTGTGGATACCAGCTGAGGTGAGTGCTGTTGGGTCCTTGAAATTTGGATTTCCTGATTTGATGATCAGCTGTGTGCAAACTTGCTTTTAATAGTAATTTGATCAAACAGTTCTTTCTATAGCAAGATGCACATATTAAAAGACTATGAAATTTTTTTATTACAGTTGCAGCAAATAAATCCTTTCAGGGGAAATGTTTGAGGAAGCGGGCATACAATTAGCCCTTGTAAATAATATGCCCTAAAATATGTGAAATAGATTGGAATGATTTATATTTGGTGTCTTCTATCTAACACAAGTCTTACTGCATTTTGAAGATAAAGGCTTCTCAATACTATTAATTTTCATCTTTAAAATCTTCAAGTGTAACCTCTGTATTTTTCAGTTAAATCTGATTTATTTTAGAAAAAAACAGCATTAAAGTCTTTTGGTAATTTTCTTTCTTCTATTGGTTGCCCCTGCTGTGTGCCAGTTCCAGAGAGTTCCGTGTCAGATCAGCTAAGATGTGAGGGTAATACGAGCTTGATCTGAAAAGATTGTTATTTTTCATTATAGTGCATTCTTTAATTTGCTAACCTTTCATGTGCTAACCTTGCAAGCACTTTTGTAGTTTCACAGTTGGGCAGGTTTTTAATTCATTAAAATGAATGTCTGCAGTCCTAGTAATACCCAGATCACAACACTGCTCTGTACATCAGTGATTGCAAGGTGTTCTGTGTTCTTGGGCTGGTCCCATTTTAAGTCACTGATCGTGGCCTCTAAGCCTCCCAAGACCCATCAGCAAGTGGTACTTTTAGTGAATGCCAAATCTGACACTGTATAATAAAACTGTACAGTGATTTGGTTTTCTGTTTCACATGACATCAAGATGCCTAGCAGACAGATATTCATAGAAAAGCATTCTTCTCAGATGGAAGTGTAAAGTATCAGGTGCCAATTTATGTACAGGAAGGGCCATCAGATATATTCAATGAGTTGGTTCCTCCAAAATGTGCAATATAACTCTGCTTTGATACTGTGATCAACAATATTATTTAGCAGCTGTTTGACTTTCATTATTATGTGTTGTGTCATTCATAAACCTAAATTCACAGAAGAATAGAAAACAAAGGGGTTTTTTTTGGATTGTGCTTGAGTCTTTTTGGCCTGCTTCATCCATGGCAGTTACTGTCTTTATAACTTGCAGAATTCAGGAGACCAGCCAAGGAATTAACAATCAGAGAAAGTTGAATTATTTATTGATGGAGATCTCAAAATGCAGATTGGGAATGACTTGTCCAAGAATAGCAGAGGACAGCGGCACAGAACCACTGAGCTATGACGTCTCATGTTATCACGGGCTTCACGCTTTTTAAGTGCTTCATCTAGCTAATCGATCAGAGGTGCTAAGGCAATTCACTCTGACTTTTATGTAGTGATCTGTGAATACGCCATTAAACTGGCTTTATAAACCCTTTTAAATCAGGTGAAGACTTACTTTGGCTGCACATCTGCCAAGCACATATGTTACACAGCATCACAGTATCACAGTATGCTAGAGATTGGAAGGGACCTCAAAAGATCATCTAGTCCAATCCCCCTGCCGGAGCAGGAACACCTAGATAATGTTACACAGGAATGCGTCCAGGCGGGTTTTGAATGTCTCCAGGGAGGGAGACTCCACAGCCTCCCTGGGCAGCCTGTTCCAGTGTTCCATCACCCCCACTGAGAAGAAGTTTCTTCTCAAGTTTAAGTGGAACCTCTTGTGTTCCAGTTTGTACCCATTACCCCTTGTCCTATCATTGTTTGCCACTGAGTAGAGCCTGGCTCCATCCTCGTGACACTCCCTCTTTATATATTTATAGACACTAATAAGGTCACCCCTCATGTTACTGCATTTAATTCTGAAGTTTAATTCTTATTTATTAAGAATTAAAATTGAAGTTTAATTCTTAATAATTTCACAGCACGTTTGTGCCAGGACTGGAGGAAGGAATCCACTCAAGTAATCTCTTCCGCTGTTCCAGTTACACCTCCTCACTGACCACAGTTTCACATTCAGACATCTCATATAAACCAGATATACACAGCAACCTTTCCTCTATGTAATGTGCTCATGTTGATCATCTGAATGAAAAATTCAAGCATGCAATAATATGAAACATTTATTTTTGTTCTCGTCTTACCATTAACACCAGTCTCGTTATAAATTTTCCAGACTTTGACAAGAGATACAGACACGTTATATGCAATAACTTGGCAGCTCAAAGGCAATCTTGTTCCTCTAGGAAATACAAGCTTGCCTTTTTTTAATTTTAGTATGAAAACTTTACATCTGGGCAGTTGGTATCTGTGGAGCACAGGAGGGGAAAAGGGGTGCTAAAGTAGTTTAAACTCTGAATTGGATAAGTTTGTAAAGCTCTCTGATACAAACTGATGAGAACTATATATCACAAAGGCTGTCAGGGTGTGTATTTGTGCTGCAAGACTGTAATGATTTATAATATCCTTTAAAATTTGTGTCTGATGGCTAATGTTACAAATGTAAGAAGGTAAGATTATGGTGAAAAATAATACTGTCAAGTGCTTTAAAAAGTTTTATAGGTAAAACCTATAAAAACCTCTGACCTGTAACAAAATAGTCTAAACTCTGTTTTGAGAATTGTATTGATCAAGTCCAGCAAATTCATTGTATAGTTTACCCAACAGTTTCTGATACACCTGAAAAAGTCATACACTCATACTATAATTCTGGGTTTTTCTGAAGACAAGGAGTAGTTCTACTTTGACTGGAAATGCAACCCATCGGTTAATTAACTTCCTTGTTCCCTCAAATCCAGGTCTGCAGACTTCAGCGTCACCTATCCACAGGAAAATACCAGCAGAATCTCTTTTCAAACCAGCCTGTCATGTTTGTATCTCCTACCAGTCAGCCACCCTGCGAAAAGCTAATTGAACTTATACAGCTGTCAGGAGGGAAAGTATGTAACGCCCTACGTCAGGCAAAGATCTGTATAGGAAAAAAAACAGGGAAGAAGTACCAGGCAATAAAATGTTTATCAGAAAAATGGGTATTAGGTAAGACACTGAATTTCAATTCTCATAAAATATTATGCAATATGTATTAAAAAATTTACTGCAAACAGTTCACTAAACTGAGGTTATGGAGGAAAGAAAATGCACAGACTGCTACAGTCAGGTTTTTAGGAAGGTTGTATCCATGGTGAGGACTTTCTCTTAGTACTAAGACTGTTTTATGATGGTCCTGGTACTCACTGTTGTAATTTTACCATGAACTAATTTCATCCAAAGATTTTCAAACTTACTTTTTGAATGATTGTTTTATATAGAGCAAACTAAATCATGGGGAGAACCCCCCAGGATAATTGCTTTTTAAATGGCATGTATTTCAATTTCGGATGCAGTAAGAAAGGTTTTTAACTGGTATCAACTGGCATAGCACTCCTGAAATATGTGAATTGGCACCCTTAGATAATCTGTCCTGAATTATCTACTGTACACCTGAAAGACAATTTTCTACAGTCTCTATTTCACTTGCAAAAGGTTTCTTTTTAAGATCTGCTGTTAAGTTTCTAAGACTTGTTAGTCCATCACTTTACTGCTACAGACACCACAGTTCTAAGTTATCTGTTTGCAGGAAATCAGATATAAAATTGCAGTATCCTCACCCTCACATAAAAGCTTTTGATAATCTATGTAGGATTCACAGCCTCCAGTCCAACACTTTTTCAGACAAGGAAAGGGTATTTTCCAAAAAGGGAGCTTTTGCATGTTAAAAAAAAAATAAAAATAAAAAATTAAATTTTCATCATACACTATGTTAAACTCCCCTAAATAGTGCCTCACTCAGACTCCAGCAATAACAGTACAACATGAATTGACGCTATATGAGACTAGCCAAGCAAGTCCTAATCTCTTGACTGTTAATGCAATCAGATCATAATGACTTAAAACCTGAAAGACAATATCACTAAATAAGAAAGGAAAGGTGAACCATAAGGGGAAAATACTCATCTAAATGCAAATGTTGATACTATGAGAAAGTATAAGATAAAATTGTGAAAATTTGAGAGAGGCATAAGAAGAAGTCATTGCTTATTGTGCCTTTCTCTGGCTTCAAAGATGACTTGAAGAGAAAGTGTGGCCAAAAAGCAAGTGAAACCAGAGATTTGTGCAAGACTAATAATACGATGTAGTAAATTAAACACAAAAGTTTCACATAGTAGTACTCCAGTCATAAATTCCAAATGGACAAAGGTAATGATCTAAAGTGGCTTGCAGTTCACATGGCACATTCACTGTTTTACTGGTCTCATGGAGCTGTGCCTCACCCCAGGTCCAGTATCTCATGAGCTATTTGCAGCTGGACATGCCACGCTCAGCCCATCAGTGGGCTGAAGGAATTGCATATCTGACTGCTAATGAAAAAGACCTCTGAATTCTTTGTGCCCTTTACAAATTTCTCAGTTCTTTTTTGCAGTCTGAGGATGCCTTTTCGAATTGTTATGTCCTGTTCATGAGGCACAGTTATGCAAGCTCCAGCTAATGGATATTAAATGATGAATCATCAAAACTCAGAAAAAAGGGATTTCTACATGATACTTTAAAGGAAGGATACAGGCCTCTGAAGTTCAGTCCGTTTCTCAGCAACTGTTTACATGATAGTATGTCACCTGTAAATTGCCATCTTGATAAAATAAATCAAATCAGATCCGAAGTGCTTTCTAATCTTTGACACTTCACCATTGCAACCCGGTTGGTTTGTGGCTATCTGCTTTCTGCTCGTAATACCAGCTGCCAATTAATTCACCCAAGGCTGACCACAATAAAAAGCATACACGTAGATAAAGCAGCACCTTTTTTAAAGTAAAGTAAATGGTAAGTGCTTTCAGTATTATCATTTGACTGTTTGCATTTATTTTCTGTCTGGGTTTTCAGCTCCACAAACTGTTTTATACCCAAAATTGCTCTAAAGTACATTGTGCTTTATAATCTCTTTCTCTTGTATTTTATCCTAAATAATCCCACTTTTTTATTTCTTTTAGATTCAATCACTCAGCATACAATATGTCCCATGGAAAACTACATTTTTCAGCTGTGAGCTAACTCAAGAGCTTCCATATGGTTGCAGGAAAACAAGCCTAGTTTGGATTCAACAATAAGAAAAATCAGCTGTAAATAAAATTTCTAAGAAAATGCAAATTACATATTTATAAATACAAGGAAATGTTTTCTACATTTTTAATACTTGTGTAAGTGTGTCTAAGTGTTCATCTTGTGAAATCTGTCGGTTTTTACAATAAAGTAGTTCACTAATAAAAATTATCTTGACCTCGTTTTTATTTATTTATTGAAGACCCTTGGACCTAAAGTTGAATGAATCATTATTCACTGGGAGGAAGTGGAAAGACGTTTTCTAATCTCTCAGCAAAGTTGATCATGTTACAGTGCAATTAAAAGATGTGTGTTCAGTGTGGGTGAGTGTGTCCAAACTAGATCTGGTGTAGTCAGCAGGAGCTGTTCTACCAGGGTAGATGTATGGATCCTGTGGGCTCCTCTGGTCCAAATGCCTCTGTAAATTTGCAGATGACACCAAGCTGTGTGGGAGAGTTGATCAGCTGAAGGATAGGAAACCTCTGCAGAGGAAGCTGGACAGGCTGGATCAATGGGCTGTGGCCAACGGTATGAGGTTCAACAAGGAGAAGTTCCAGGTCCTGCATTTGGGCCGCCACAACCCCATGCAGTGCTACAGGCTTGGGAAAGAACGGCTGGAAAGCTGCTTGGTGGAAAGGGACCTGGCAGTGCTGATCGATGGCTGCTGAACATGAGCCAGCTTCTGCCCAGGCAGCCAAGAAGGCCAGCAGCATGCTGGCCTGTATCAGCAATAGCATGGCCAGCAGGGCCAGGGCAGTGATCATCCCCTGTGCTCAGCACTGGTGAGGACGCACCTCAAGTACTGTGTTCAGTTCTGGGCCCCTCTCTACAAGAAAGACATTGAGGTGCTGGAGCAGGTCCAGAGAAGGGCAACAGAGCTGGTGAAGGGTCTGGAGAACAAGTCTGATGAGGAATGGATGAGGCAATGGGAGTCATTTAGTCTGGAGAAGAGAAGGCTCAGGAGGGACCTTATCACTCTCTACAACTGCCTGAAAGGAGACTGTAGTGAGGTGGGGGTTAGTGTCTTCTCCCAAGTAACAAGTGATAGGACAAGAGGTAACGGCCTCAAGCTGTGCCAAGGGAGGTTTACATTGGATTTTAGGAAAAATCTCTTCACTGGGAAGGTGATCAGGCATTGGAACATGTTTCCCAGGGAAGTGGTGGGATCACCATCCCTGGAAGTGTTAAAAGATGAGGCCCTCAGTGACGTGCTTTAGTGGTGGTCTTGGCAGTCCTGGACTTAATGACCTTAAAGGTCTTTTCCAGCCTATTTGATTCTATGATTCTGTTATTTCAAGTTAATATTATGGGACAATCAAGATACAGTGGTTTATAAATGTTGCCATTCTATTGCATTCTTCTAACTTTCTGGGCTTTTTAAAGGATTTGGATGTACAAGCTCTAACTTTTTTTTTTCAAAACAAGTTCAGCAGTATCTGGGTGGAAGGCTGGTCTGGGTACAAACTGCATTTTTATAGTTGCTTTGTAAAATGTTAAACATACTTCTTAGTGGAAAATCTCCAAGTTATTGGAAAATTAAACTGACTTTATTTTCAGAAATATTGAGCACCTGTAGCTCAAAAGGTTAAGATCCTGTTTTCAAGTATCTTAGTGCTATAAAGCTGGGTTTAGTATATAAACTAGAAAAAGTAATTTATTGAGGTCTTTTCCTTGCTTACTTTTCTGATATGCACATTTTCAACAGAATCTTAGCTAGGGAAAGTATGGTTGATACAAAAAATTGGAAAGCTACAAATTGTACTGTTTATAATCAAAACTATTTACCTATTTACTGCAAAGCACTGGTATCAGGGTATCACTCTTCACAATTGGCCTTATAAGCCCTTTATAAAGAAACTGGTTGCCAAGTACTATAGACTAAAATACAAATACTGAAACAGGTTGTGACATGAACATATGGTTTCCAGTAAATAACAGAATAATTTATTCGAATTGTATTGCTTAACTTTGAATATTACAACCTCCTAGTTTGTTTTGTAGTAATTTCCTAAGTGTACTACCCATAAAAATCTGTCACTATTAATTTATGTAATATAACATTCCAATTCAGCTTTCTCATAAATCTTCTTAAGATAAATCTCAGCTATTTGGTGTCCATGCCCATGGCAAGTGGGTTGGAACTAGACAATCTTTAAGGTCCCTTCCAACCCAAACCATTCTATGATTCTACGATTTTATTTAAGTTGTAAATTCTCGGATCAACTGTTGTTTTCTATTAGTCACATGTGCAACAGATTTGACAATTAGAAGTCTGATATACTTTTTTCTAAATCAGAATATTTCAGATAAAAAAAAAACCCTGTCAATTTAGACAATTTCATCTTAACTTACATGGTTTGATAGAAATCCCCATCTATTGGCTGTTCTTGCAAAATCTGCAGTACACAGGTAAATATAGCCAGCAGGAAATTAAATACCTCATTTTGGTCTCGCATTATGGGCAATAGGAGTGCTGTCCATCTGTACCGACTGTTGCTTCATAGTAGTACATAGCAAACACAGGAGAGGTTAAAATTAAATCCAAGGACAAGCATGTTGCACAGGCAATAAAAAAAGAAACACTATTTCATGTTTATATCCTGGAGTCCTTCACACAGCTTCTGACCTACATACCCATGTGTGGGTCTTCAACCACCTCAGCACTGGAAGGAATGTGCATTTCTACCTGAGACTTCACCAGGAAAAGTCGCCAACTCTGATCATCCCCTCAATAAACCTACATTGAAAACTTGTCAAATGACTGATGTGCTGGAAGAAATCCACCAACTGAAAAAACACTTGTACTGATACTGAGGTCCTAAGGACAGTAACAGAAGACACGGCAGAACACCCAGCAACATGAAGCATCAGTGATTCATGGGTAATTTCAAGTTGATCAGGGCTAACAGCTTTGCAATGTAGTGTGTTTAATGGATATTTTGCCTTAGTACAGCACAGCCACGCACTCTTACTTCTACAAAATGGTATCATACTCACCTGGTCAAGAACCTAGGGGTTTTATTGAATCTATTTTTGTGGAGGAAAGGTTGTCCTAACCTTACCTTTATCTTCCTGCATTAATATTATTGCTGTTCATTTGTAAACACGACAGCTTAACTGCCATCTCTCCTCAGGAAGCTCCTGCACCCCCGCTAGAGGCTGTCTAACAAATCACATTAGAAAGATTAAGGATCTTTCTAAGTTAGCCTAATTTTATTAGGAATCTGTTTAACCCAAAATATATCGAAAGCCAAAATAAGTATTATTCCTTCCTGAGATTTATATTAGCTGAGCTAATTTTTTTAAGTATTTTAACTTCCAGCACAGGTCCTACTTTAACTCATTTTACCTAGTGGTGTAGGTGATACCACTGGGATGCACAGACTGCGAATGTCCCTTCCCTCCTTCCTCTTCCAGAGATAAAAAGAAGTTTTACCACACTGATTAATTTACTGGGGAATCACACTGACAAATGCAGAAATACTGAGGACAAAAACGGGCATAACCTTGAAGATTGTGTTGCTTAATCTGTGTCAGAACAGCAGCAAAACTGGTGTCCTCTTCAAACAGTATATCCTTAAATTCGGATCTCAAGCAATTTCTTTATAGTGACTAATAATATCAGATTGGCTAAAGATGTGTTTGAAAGCAAGACTGCCAGAAACTCATAAGGTGGATGGATTATGTATCTCCTTTTTCCCCTTTCTCCTTTTGTAATCAACTGCACTGGGGAGATGTGTATCTAGTGAGTAAAACCCTCTAAATATTCACAGTGATCCTAGTACACGAGCCATCTGGCATTCAACTACTAAACTACAGATTTATTGAGCTGGTTTTATGGATGTTTTCCTGACTCAACTACAGGCAACTTTGTGCAGATTGTTACTTTTTTAATTAAAATAACTAGTACAAACTATTGCATCACTTGATTTTCTGTATAGAGTTCCACTATACTAAACTTGAGTGATCTTAATTGAGCTGTATAGAACATAATTTAGGCATGACTGCATTATGTGGTAAAGTATTATCAGCATATTCAGCACTAGGAACCTGCTCATACACTTTCATTTTTTGGTGAAACCTATAATCAGCTTAGGGAGTGTAAGGCAAAGGTGCTTTAAATTAGTATTTCTGAGCAGGATCAGTGGCTATGTGGAGCTGTGTTTCTAACATTTCTAGAGCATAAAATGGAAGTATGTCAGGAACAATGTCTAGAAAGCTGATTAAACTATTTTTTCCCTCAACAGCAACACACAACCCTGGAAAAAAAATGGAATATTTGCTCAGACTGAAAACTGAAAAGCATGAAAATGTCTGTTTGTGCCAAGAGTCTTCTTTAATGATAGACCTAATAATCAAATGGCTGTAATCCTATTGTATTAAACGGAGTTTTATTTCTGATCTCCTTTTATTGCTGTATTTCGGAATGGGCTCTTTGCATGATATGACCAAATAGTGAGCTCTCAAAGAGCATCACATTTACTAACTACAGCATCACGCAGCAGCTGACATTAAGGTGGTTTAAAATTGCCAGTAGTAAACAATATCTGCTGCTGAGGTTACCAGCACAGGTGTCTGCTAAGAGCTTTTGCTGCGAACTGGCAAAGGTGAGGTTTTCTTCAGCTGATACCGATGTGAAACAACCCTCTTCGCACTCAGGAGAAGCTCAAACTCCTGCATAGGGCTGAGATGTTGATAGGTAGAAGCCAGGTGTAATGTAGCACTGCAAGTTTCTTTGAACTGCTGGAGTCTGCATGCTTCAGAGGCTGATTTGTGGCATAGTACTTCAAGATGTATTTTTCTCTCTCTGGCAAAACTGCTGTCCAAACCCAGAATTACAGTTTTTGTCTTGACTGCTGTTATCTTTCCCTCAGTCAACACTTGGAATATCAGTTCCTCTCCTCCACTAAACTCTTATTCCGAAGATTATTCGTACAGTTCTTTGACATCTTCCCTGTTTTAACCACTACTTGTTTCGTTCCTCCAGTTCATCAAACAAAACCTTTCTCTTCTGAGCTCTCATCACTGTAGTCCAACCCTCCCTATCAGGTCTGACATGTACCTACTTCTGATTCTCACTTTTGTTTCATTAAAAGATATCAGCATTAAGTATTAAATCTTGGGAGGAGAGAGTGGGATGGGATGGTTAATAACCCTTTTCATGCTTGTTTTTTCAGGCTTCCCTTTT